CTTTCTCATATGTGGGGTCAGTGCTAGTGTAGCCGTATCCAATTAAATTCATCAGACCGCTCTCTGTTTGCTGGTACCAGAGCATTACGTCAAGATCGCTATCATTGTGACTGCATTTAAAGTCCACTCTGGTCTTTTCGTTGACTATTTTTGGAGGAGACGGCTGAAACGTCACACTCTTAGCTCGGCCTCGATCTGTTGGGAAAGCACACATTAAGAATAGTTGTTGATACAAAAGCAACTGTGGAAAAAAAAACATTAATGTTGTTTGTAGGTAATTTCATTACATGGCAACAAGAAGAGAAGAAATCCGATCACAACTGGAGACATCCTCCAGGTTTGCTCTGCTGCAGGAGAAACACAGCTTCCACCAGTGAGAGTCAGTGTAAATAGAGACTCTGCCTCATCTGCAAATGTCTCATTCACAGGAAGGTGAGGGTTTTTAGTGAGGGAGTGGCATTAAACCACATCACTGTGTACTGCCAGCGCAGTAATACACAGCCGTGTCTGATAGATTCACACTCTGAATAATCAGAGCTCCTGTTTGGATGTCTTTTCTTGTAATCTTAAACCAACCTTTAAAATGTTTCTCATAGTTAGGCTCACTGCCAGAATAGCTGAATCCAATCAAGCTCATCAAACCTCTCTCTTTTTGCTGGTACCAGAGCATTACATAGAGGTTGTTATCATTATGACTGCATGTAATTTCTACTCTGGCCTTGTCCTCGACTATTCTGAGAAGAGACGGCTGAAATGTCACACTCTTGGCTCAATCTGTGGGAAAAACACAGATTTTAAAAGTAAATGATACAGAAGCCCCAGTGAAAAAAGGTAAAAGCGTAAAATGTCTTTGTAAATTAACAACACAATTAAATTGCAGTTTTTGCAGCTAATTTCATTACATGGAAGCAAGATGAGCAGAAATGCTATCACAGCTGGAGACATTTTCAAGTTTGTGCTGTTGCAGGAGGGACACAGCCTCCTCCAACAATGTATCAAGAGAAAGAGCCTCAACTGCAAATGTCTCATTCACAGGATGGTGAGGGTTTTTAGTGAGGGAGTGGCATTAAACCACATCACTGTGTACTTGCAGCGCAGTAATACACAGCCGAGTGCGACAGGTTTGCTCTGTGAATCATCAGCGTTCCTCTGGCTGTGCCGTCTCTCGTCAGCTCGAATTGTTCTTCAAACTGATCCTCGTAGTTTTGGCTACCTGTTCCATATCCATACCCAATGAGGGTCATAGACTGACTGTCCTGTCTTTGCTGATACCAGAGCATTATAGGAAGGCCAGTATCATCGTGGCTGCAGTTAATCTGAACAGTGGTTTTCTCCTTCACTATCTGGGGAGGAGATTGTTGAAACCTAACAGCGCTCACTTTACCTGTGGAGGAAGCAGAGATAATGTTCAGCATGTTGTATAAATAATGATATAATGACTGCTTTAATGTCCAATTCAGGATGACATTTCTTACAGTGAAAACAGATGAAGAGAAGAGCAAAGATTAGCACAGATGAGGACATGGTCAGGCACTGATGTGAGTAAAGTATTGCACGAAGAAAAATAAGGCTCAGGATGAAGAGGGAGGGGGGTTGTGTCTGTGCGTGGGTTAATCATCATCACATCCTCATCATAAAAGGCGCAAACCATGTGCTGTGCCTCCACCTATTGGTTGAATCTATTCCTCAGGACCCTGCTGTATGTAGTTTGGATTCTTAATTATTATTAGCAGACTTTATATGCTCATGTACCCCTTTTCCTGTCGTATTACCGGTGCAGCAAAGTGCTGTCAGCCTCCAACATTTGATTTCTCCGCGATCTCAAATGACTAGAACCCAGAGCCACAGCTGTTATTGTTCCCATGTCGTAGGAGGTTTTTAGTGAAGCAGTTGTATTAAACCACATCACTGTGTGCTAGCAGCGCAGAAATACACCGCTGAGTCTGACAGATTCGCTGTTGGAATGATCAGAGATCCTTTCTGCATGCCGCTTTTTATCTGGAATCTGTCTTTAAACTGGACCTCGTAGTTTGGTTCACCCACGAGGACTGAGTACCCAATGAGGCTCATAGACCCACTGCCCGGCTTGTGTTGGTACCACAGCATAGTTTGGAGGATGCTGTCATCGTGACTGCAATCAATCGTGACCTCCTTGGTCCCGTCCTTCACAAGTTGAGCAGAGGACTGTTCAAAGGTAACACTCTCCACTTTTCCTGTGAACAAGGTCAATTTATGTCATTAAGGTAAAGTCTGAATTCAAGCAATTTGTAGGAATTCATTTAAAATGTGTTGTCCCATAAGCACAGAGTGGTGCAGATTACAGAGACAACAGTACTTAATATTCTTTAAAAAGTAATATATCAGTGAGTCAGGCTTACTTGTAAGAAGGAGCAGTAAAAATCCAAATGTGTATAAAGCTGGAGGCATCCTGGAAACTAAAGTTAAATCAACACCTGTGTAACAGCAACAAATAACAAAAAGAAATGCACAATTGTTTCCATATCAACTTTACAATGACAGCATTTACTGAAATCTGGTGTCAGAGGTGCAACATTCAAATGTTCCTCCGGTCTGACAAACTTATTGCAGATTAAATGAGAGATGACTTCCCTTCTCCATATGTCAAACCTCCTCTTCCCCACCTTCTTCCTCTGCTCAGGTCCTCTTGTCAAAAAAACCCCACTAACACTCTAATTTATAGTTTTTAATGTATACTGCCTCCAGCTTACAACTTATTTGTTTATTCTCTTCATAGATTCTCTGGTTTCTTTTAAGAGCTTTTGTAAACAAAGTTGTTCTAAAAACTTCAATGCAGTGCCTTTTTTACTAATAAGCCAGGGTTATCTGTAGGTTTTCATCCCCACCAAAGATCATCTGTGATCCAAAGAGCATCTATTATTTTCAGATATTTATAAATAGCTTAACTTCCTATAATTTATCCAACATCTTTTATTACATTAACAAACTTAATAGCAATTTATTGATGATAATTGTGATTACTTTAATGGGATAATATGTGTTCATGTATATAAATGGAGAATACTATCCCTATAACTGTAATATTCAGTGAATGAATTTATACAATATATCTCTGTTTACTGACAAACAAAAGTGTGTTCAATTAATTAATCACCTGCTGAGGTGATTGGATGAAAACCAGCTAATTGAGCCACGGTGGAATCTGATTGGTCAACATCGTCTTTTTAAACTGACAATGCCCCGCCCACTCGTTACACAGTAGAAAATACAGTAAATTAAGCTAGTTTTAAAAAGTTTGCAGCTAAACGTTTTAATTAGCGTTGCATCAGGAGGACATGTGGAGGTTTTTTGATGTCTTCACAGCACTTCAACCTGCCAATGTAGTCAATTCATTGGTTGTTGATATCAAACATGGATCCTAACACCAATTGTTGGCTGCAAATGCCACCTTCAAACTTCCATCCGGAGTTTTCTGTTCCTGCTTTTGGCTGCTTGGGATTTTATTCCAATGGAGTTTCTCTTCTCAGAATTGCTAGAAATTACATCTTCACCTCAGCAAGGTAAGAGTTTATGTTTTGTGCTAACCTGTATATTGTGAGTTGATGTTTTTAAAATACATCATAATGCCTTTATTTTGACAGATAATTATGATTGCAATATGATTGGGAGTGATTTTTTTGCATCATAAGTTTGAATTTAACGTGGCGATGTTTTTGAGCTGCTGTCTTGGCTGCGATTTCATCTGTTAATTGTTATGTCTTTGAATGGCTGAGACTTTTCCCATTGGTTGTTGTTTGGCACTTGTATGATTCTTTAATGGTGAAATATGAACACTCATGGTTGAGCATCTTGAGTGTGTTGTGGCTGAATTGGTTATGCAACAGATAGCTGCCTATGTTGCTATTCTGCTTTGCCATATTATTGTCTCTGTTATTACTACCTCCTTCCCTCTGCTTGTGCAAAGTGGTGAGAAGTTTTCCTATTGCTTTTTGTTATTAAAGACAGCACTGGCTCACTGCATTTGTATTTTGATCTTCACTTTTGTTGATTTAGTTTGATCTGCTGTAGGTGGTAAAGTGTACATACCAACAGCAGTAATGGATTTGGATGAATTGGGAAAATCTGTCATCGCTGGGATATGAGGCAGTCTGAAATTAAAAATGAAATGAGTTGGTCAGTGCATACAGTTTTTGCCTGTATATTGCAGCCATCAATTCTACTGTGTGCTTTAAAAGTGAGTTTTAAGTAAAAGGAGTTATTTGAGACTGTGTGACTGTAAAGAGTCACAATATTTTTGTTTATCTGTTTTGAAGCTAATTACACCAGCCTGCCTCTCAGGATCTTGAACTTGAAACAGAGAGAAAGAAGAGAACAGGGTTTTTAGTGAGGGCTGATATTAAACCACATCACTGTGTACTGGCAGCGCAGTAATACACAGCTGAGTCTGACAGATTCACACTCTGAATAGTCAGACCTCCTGTTTGGATGTCTTTTCTTGTAATCTTAAACCGATCTTCAAACTGTTTCTCATTTGTGGGGTCACTGCTAGTGTAGCCGTATCCAATTAAATTCATCAGACCGCTCTCTGTTTGCTGGTACCAGAGCATTACGTCAAGATCGCTATCATTGTGACTGCATTTAAAGTCCACTCTGGTCTTTTCGTTGACTATTTTTGGAGGAGACTGCTGAAACGTCACACTCTTAGCTCGGCCTCGATCTGTTGGGAAAGCACACATTAAGAATAGTTGTTGATACAAAAGCAACTGTGGAAAAAAAACATTAATGTTGTTTGTAGGTAATTTCATTACATGGCAACAAGAAGAGAAGAAATCCGATCACAACTGGAGACATCCTCCAGGTTTGCTCTGCTGCAGGAGAAACACAGCTTCCACCAGTGAGAGTCAGTGTAAAGAGAGACACTGCCTCATCTGCAAATGTCTCATTCACAGGAAGGTGAGGGTTTTTAGTGAGGGAGTGGCATTAAGCCACATCACTGTGTACTGCCAGCGCAGTAATACAGAGCCGTGTCTGATAGATTCACACTCTGAATAATCAGAGCTCCTGTTTGGGTGTCATTTCTTGTAATCTTAAACCAACCTTTAAACTGTTTCTCATAGTTAGGCTCATTGCCAGAATAGCTGAATCCAATCAAGCTCATCAAACCTCTCTCTTTTTGCTGGTACCAGAGCATTACATAGAGGTTGTTATCATTATGACTGCATGGAATTTCTACTCTGGCCTTGTCCTCGACTATTCTGGGAAGAGACGGCTGAAATGTCACACTCTTGGCTCGATCTGTGGAGAAAAACACAGATTTTTTTTTTTGAAATGACTAGAACCCAGAGCCACAGCTGTTATTGTTCCCATGTCGTAGGAGGTTTTTAGTGAAGCAGTTGTATTAAACCACATCACTGTGTGGTAGCAGCGCAGAAATACACAGCTGAGTCTGACAGATTCGCTGTTGGAATGATCAGAGATCCTTTCTGCGTGCCGCTTTTTATCTGGAATCTGTCTTTAAACTGGACCTCGTAGTTTGGTTCACCATTGGCGACTGAGTACCCAATGAGGCTCATAGACCCACTGCCCGGCTTGTGTTGGTACCACAGCATATATTGGAGGATGCTGTCATCGTGACTGCAATCAATCGTGACCTCCTTGGTCCCGTCCTTCACAAGTTGAGCAGAGGACTGTTCAAAGGTAACACTCTCCACTTTTCCTGTGAACAAGGTCAATTTATGTCATTAAGGTAAAGTCTGAATTCAAGCAATTTGTAGGAATTCATTTAATATGTGTTGTGCCATAAGCACAGAGTGGTGCTGATTACAGAGACAACAGTACTTAATATTCTTTAAAAAGTAATATATCAGTGAGTCAGGCTTACTTGTAAGAACGAGCAGTAAAAATCCAAATGTGTATAAAGCTGGAGGCATCCTGGAAACTAAAGTTAAATCAACACCTGTGTAACAGCAATAAATAACAAAAAGAAATGCACAATTGTTTCCATATCAACTTTACAATGACAGCATTTACTGAAATCTGGTGTCAGAGGTGCAACATTCAAATGTTCCTCCGGTCTGACAAACTTATTGCAGATTAAATGAGAGATGACTTCCCTTCTCCATAAGTCACACCTCCTCTTCCCCACCTTCTTCCTCTGCTCAGCTCCTCTTGTAAAAAGTGCTGCACTTTTATTTTTCACAAATGAATACACTTAAATTACTATTGGTTTTGCTCAGTATAATGGCTGAAGTTAGAAAATCTGAAGTTTTTGACCTTTTATACTAATAATCATCATAATAATCAATCAATAATCAATAATGATACTAATAATCTGTCTTCTAAAACTAATTTGTAGTTGTATTATTGAACATTTTTAATTCATCATATTGTAGGTCCATGTATACTGCCTCCTGCTTAGAACCTCTTTTTATATTCTTTTCATAGATTTTCTTTTTACTTCTAAGAATTTAGTAAATAAAGTTCAAATCTTTAATGCAGTGCCTTTTTCTTTCTTTTGCAAATAAGCCAGGGTTATCTGTAGGTTTTCATCCCCAACAAAAACCATCTGTGATCCAAAGAGCATCTATTATTTTCATATATATATAATTAACTTAACTTCCTATAATTTTTTTTTTTAATTAATTCATTACATTAAAAATCTTAATACCAGTTTATGCTTGATGATAATTGTGATTACTTTAATGGGATAATATGTGTTCATGTATATAAATGGAGAATACTATCCCTATAACTTTCATATTTTGAATGAATTTACACAATATATCTCTGTTTACTGAAAAACGAAAGTGTATTCAATTAATTAATCACTTTCTGAGGTGATTGGATGAAAACCAGGTAATTGAGCCATGGTGGACCCTGATTGGTCAACACAGTCTTTTTAAACTGACAATGCCCCACCCACTCGTTACACAGAGGAAAATACAGTAAATTAAGCTAGTTTTTAAAAGTTTACAGCTAAACCTTTTATTAATGTTGCATCAGGAGGACATGTGGAGGTTTTTTGATGTCTTCACAGCACTTCAACCTGCCAATGTAGTCAATTCATCGGTTGTTGATATCAAACATGGATCCTAACACCAACGGTTGGCCGCAAATGCCACCTTCAAACTTCCATCCGGAGTTTTCTGTTCCTGCTTTTGGTTGCTTGGGATTTTATTCCAATGGGATTTCTCTTCTCGGAATTGCTAGAAATCAAAGCTTCACCTTACCAAGGTAAGAGTTTATGTTTTGTGCTAACCTGTATATTATGAGTTGATGTTTTTAAAATACATCATAATGCTTTTATTTTGACAGATAATTATGATTGCAATATGGTTGGGAGTGATTTTTTTGCATCATAAGTTTGAATTTAACGTGGCGATGTTTTTGAGCTGCTGTCTTGGCTGCTATTTTTTCTGTTAATTTTTATGTCTTTGAATGGCTGAGACTTTTCCCGTTGGTTGTTGTTTGGCACTTGTATGATTCTTTAATGGTGAAATATGAACACTCATGGTTGAGCATCTTGAGTGTGTTGTGGCTGAATTGGTTATGCAACAGATTGCTGCCTATGTTGCTATTCTGCTTTGCCATATTATTGTCTCTGTTATTACTATCTCCTTCCCTCTGCTTGTGCAAAGTGGTGAGAAGTTTTCCTATAGCTTTTTGTTGTTATTAAAGACATCACTGGCTCACTGCATTTGTATTTTGATCTTCACTTTTGTTGATTTAGTTTGATCTGCTGTAGGTGGTAAAGAGTACATACCAACAGCAGCAATGGATTTGGATAAATTGGGAAAATCTGTCATAGCTGGGATATGAGGCAGTCTGAAATTAAAAATGAAATGAGTTTGTCAGTGCATACAATTTTTGACTGTATATTGCAGCCATCAATTCTACTGTGTGCTTTAAAAGTGAGTTTTAAGTAAAAGGACTTCTTTGAGACTGTGTGACTGTAAAGAGTCACATTATTTTTGTTTATCTGTTTTGAAGCTAATTACACCAGCCTGTCTCTCAGGATCTTGAACTTGAAACAGAGAGAAAGAAGAGAACAGGGTTTTTAGTGAGGGCTGATATTAAACCACATCACTGTGTACTGGCAGCGCAGTAATACACAGCTGAGTCTGACAGATTCACACTCTGAATAGTCAGACCTCCTGTTTGGATGTCTTTTCTTGTAATCTCAAACCGATCTTCAAACTGTTTCTCATATGTGGGGTCAATGCCAGAGTAGCCGTATCCAATTAAATTTATCAGACCACTCTCTGTTTGCCGGTACCAGAGCATTACATCAAGATTATTGTCATCATGACTGCATTTAAAGTCCACTCTGTTCTTTTCGTTGACTATTTTTGGAGGAGACTGCTGAAACGTCACACTCTTAGCTCGGCCTCGATCTGTTGGGAAAGCACACATTAAGAAAAGTTGTTGATACAGAAGCAACTGTGGAAAAAAAACATTAATGTTGTTTGAAGGTAATTTCATTACATGGCAACAAGAAGAGAAGAAATCCGATCACAACTGGAGACATCCTCCAGGTTTGCTCTGCTGCAGGAGAAACACAGCTTCCACCAGTGAGAGTCAGTGTAAAGAGAGACACTGCCTCATCTGCAAATGTCTCATTCACAGGAAGGTGAGGGTTTTTAGTGAGGGAGTGGCATTAAACCGCATCACTGTGTACTGGCAGCGCAGTAATACACAGCCATGTCTGATAGATTCACACTCTGAATAATCAGAGCTCCTATGTTGACTTCTGTTCTTGTAATCTTAAACCAACCTTTAAAATGTTTCTCATAGTTAGGCTCACTGCCAGAACTGCTGAATCCAATCAAGCTCATCAAACCTCTCTCTTTTTGCTGGTACCAGAGCATTACATAGAGGTTGTTATCATCATGAATGCATGTAATTTCTACTCTGGCCTTGTCCTCGACTATTCTGGGAAGAGACGGCTGAAATGTCACACTCTTGGCTCGATCTGTGGGAAAAACACAGATTTTAAAAGTAAATGATACAGAAGAAACAGTGAAAAAAGGTAAAAGCGTAAAATGTCTTTGTTAATTAACAACACAGTTAAATTGCAGTTTTTGCAGCTAATTTCATTACATGGAAGCAAGATGAGCAGAAATGATATCACAGCTGGAGACATTTTCAAGTTTGTGCTGTTGCAGGAGGGACACAGCCTCCTCCAACGATGTATCAAGAGAGAGCGCCTCAACTGCAAATGTCTCATTCACAGGATGGTGAGGGTTTTTAGTGAGGGAGTGGCATTAAACCACATCACTGTGTACTGGCAGCGCAGTAATACACAGCTGAGTCTGACAGATTCACACTCTGAATAGTCAGACCCCCTGTTTGGACGTCTTTTCTTGTAATCTTAAACCGATCTTCAAACTGTTTCTCATATGTGGGGTCAGTGCCAGGGTAGCCGTATCCAATTAAATTCATCAGACCGCTCTCTGTTTGCTGGTACCAGAGCATTACATTAAGGCTGCTATCATTGTGACTGCATTTAAAGTCCACTTCAGTATTTTTAGTGACTATTTTTGGAGGAGACGGCTGAAACGTCACACTCTTAGCTCGGCCTCGATCTGTTGGGAAAGCACACATTAAGAATAGTTGTTGATACAAAAGCAACTGTGGAAAAAAACCATTAATGTTGTTTGTAGGTAATTTCATTACATGGCAACAAGAAGAGAAGAAATCCGATCACAACTGGAGACATCCTCCAGGTTTGCTCTGCTGCAGGAGAAACACAGCTTCCACCAGTGAGAGTCAGTGTAAATAGAGACACTGCCTCATCTGCAAATGTCTCATTCACAGGAAGGTGAGGGTTTTTAGTGAGGGAGTGGCATTAAACCACATCACTGTGTACTTGCAGCGCAGTAATACACAGCCGAGTGCGACAGGTTTGCTCTGTGAATCATCAGCGTTCCTCTGGCTGAGTCTTCTCTCGTCAGCTTGAATTGTTCTTCAAACTGATCCTCGTAGCTTTGGCTACCTGTTCCATATCCATACCCAATGAGGGTTATAGACTGACTGTCCTGTCTTTGCTGATACCAGAGCATTAATAGAAGGCTAGTGTCATCGTGGCTGCAGTTAATCTGAACAGTGGTTTTCTCCTTTACTATCTGGGGAGGAGATTGCTGAAACCTAACAGCGCTCACTTTACCTGTGGAGGAAGCACAGATAATGTTCAGCATGTTGTATAAATAATGATATAATGACTGCTTTAATGTTCAATTCAGGATGACATTTCTTACAATGAAAACAGATAAAGAGAAGAGCAAAGGTTAGCACAGATGAGGACATGGTCAGGCACTGATGTGAGTAAAGTATTGCACGAAGAAAAATAAGACTCAGGATGAAGAGGGAGGGGGGTTGTGTCTGTGCGGGGGTTAATTCATCATCACATCCTCATCATAAAAGCTGCAAACCATGTGCTGTGCCTCCACCTATTGGTTGAATCTATTCCTCAGGACCCTGCTGTATGTAGTTTGGATTCTTAATTATAATTAGCAGACTTTATATGCTCATGTACCCCTTTTCCTGTTGTATTATCGGTGCAGCAAAGTGCTGTCAGCCTCCAACATTTGATTTCTCCACGATCTCAAATGACTAGAACCCAGAGCCACAGCTGTTATTGTTCCTATGTCGTAGGAGGTTTTTAGTGAAGCAGTTGTATTAAACCACATCACTGTGTGCTAGCAGCGCAGAAATACACAGCTGAGTCTGACAGATTCGCTGTTGGAATGATCAGAGATCCTTTCTGCATGCCGCTTTTTATCTGGAATCTGTCTTTAAACTGGACCTCGTAGTTTGGTTCACCATTGAGGACTGAGTACCCAATGAGGCTCATAGACCCACTGCCCGGCTTGTGTTGGTACCACAGCATAGCTCCGAGGCTGCTGTCATCGTGACTGCAATCAATCGTGACCTCCTTGGTCCCGTCCTTCACAACTTGAGCAGAGGACTGTTCAAAGGTAACACTCTCCACTTTTCCTGTGAACAAGGTCAATTTGTGTCATTAAGGTAAAGTCTGAATTCAAGCAATTTGTAGGAATTAATTTAAAATGTGTTGTCCCATAAGCACAGAGTGGTGCAGATTACAGAGACAACAGTACTTAATATTCTTTAAAAAGTAATATATCAGTGAGTCAGGCTTACTTGTAAGAACGAGCAGTAAAAATCCAAATGTGTATAAAGCTGGAGGCATCCTGGAAACTAAAGTTAAATCAACACCTGTGTAACAGCAACAAATAACAAAAAGAAATGCACAATTGTTTCCATATCAACTTTACAATGACAGCATTTACTGAAATCTGGTGTCAGAGGTGCAACATTCAAATGTTCCTCCGGTCTGACAAACTTATTGCAGATTAAATGAGAGATGACTTCCCCTTCTCCATACGTCACACCTCCTCTTCCCCCACCTTCTTCCTCTGCTCAGGTCCTCTTGTCAAAAAAAACCCCACTAACACTCTAATTTATAGTTTTTAATGTATACTGCCTCCAGCTTACAACTTATTTGTTTATTCTCTTCATAGATTCTCTGGTTTCTTGTAAGAGCTTTTGTAAACAAAGTTGTTTAAAAACTTCAATGCAGTGCCTTTTTTACAAATAAGCCAGGGTTATCTGTAGGTTTTCATCCCCACCAAAGATCATCTGTGCTCCAAAGAGCATCTATTATTTTCAGATATTTATAAATAGCTTAACTTCCTATAATTTATCCAACATCTTTTATTACATTAACAAACTTAATAGCAATTTATTGATGATAATTGTGATTACTTTAATGGGATAATATGTGTTCATGTATATAAATGGAGAATACTATCCCTATAACTGTAATATTCAGTGAATGAATTTATACAATATATCTCTGTTTACTGACAAACAAAAGTGTGTTCAATTAATTAATCACCTGCTGAGGTGATTGGATGAAAACCAGCTAATTGAGCCACGGCGGAATCTGATTGGTCAACATCGTCTTTTTAAACTGACAATGCCCCGCCCACTCGTTACACAGTAGAAAATACAGTAAATTAAGCTAGTTTTAAAAAGTTTGCAGCTAAACGTTTTAATTAGCGTTGCATCAGGAGGACATGTGGAGGTTTTTTGATGTCTTCACAGCACTTCAACCTGCCAATGTAGTCAGTTCATTGGTTGTTGATATCAAACATGGATCCTAACACCAATTGTTGGCCGCAAATGCCACCTTCAAACTTCCATCTGGAGTTTTCCGTTCCTGCTTTTGGCTGTTTGGGATTTTATTCCAATGGAGTTTCTCTTCTCAGAATTGCTAGAAATCAAAGCTTCACCTCAGCAAGGTAAGAGTTTATGTTTTGTGCTAACCTGTATATTATGAGTTGATGTTTTTAAAATACATCATAATGCTTTTATTTTGACAGATAATTATGATTGCAATATGATTGGGAGTGATTTTTTTGCATCATAAGTTTGAATTTAACGTGACGATGTTTTTGAGCTGCTGTCTTGGCTGCTATTTCATCTGTTAATTGTTATGTCTTTGAATGGCTGAGACTTTTCCCATTGGTTGTTGTTTGGCACTTGTATGATTCTTTAATGGTGAAATATGAACACTCATGGTTGAGCATCTTGAGTGTGTTGTGGCTGAATTGGTTATGCAACAGATTGCTGCCTATGTTTCTATTCTGCTTTGCCATATTATTGTCTCTGTTATTACTATCTCCTTCCCTCTGCTTGTACTGAGTGGTGAGAAGTTTTCCTATTGCTTTTTGTTGTTATTAAAGACAGCACTGGCTCACTGCATTTGTATTTTGATCTTCACTTTTGTTGATTTAGTTTGATCTGCTGTAGGTGGTAAAGTGTACATACCAACAGCAGTAATGGATTTGGATAAATTGGGAAAATCTGTCATAGCTGGGATATGAGGCAGTCTCAAATTAAAAATGAAATGAGTTGGTCATTGCATACAGTTTGTGCCTGTATATTGCAGCCATCAATTCTACTGTGTGCTTTAAAAGTGAGTTTTAAGTAAAAGGACCTCTTTGAGACTGTGTGACTGTAAAGAGTCACATTATTTTTGTTTATCTGTTTTGAAGCTAATTACACCAGCCTGCCTCTCAGGATCTTGAACTTGAAACAGAGAGAAAGAAGAGAACAGGGTTTTTAGTGAGGGCTGATATTAAACCACATCACTGTGTACTGGCAGCGCAGTAATACACAGCTGAGTCTGACAGATTCACACTCTGAATAGTCAGACCTCCTGTTTGGACGTCTTTTCTTGTAATCTTAAACCGATCTTCAAACTGTTTCTCATATGTGGGGTCACTAGAGTAGAAATATCCAATTAAATTCATCAGACCGCTCTCTGTTTGCTGGTACCAGAGCATTACTGTTAGACTGCTATCATTGTGACTGCATTTAAAGTCCACTTCGGTATTTTTAGTGACTATTTGTAGAGGAGACTGCTGAAACGTCACACTCTTAGCTCGGCCTCGATCTGTTGGGAAAGCACACATTAAGAATAGTTGTTGATACAGAAGCAACTGTGGAAAAAACATTAATGTTGTTTGAAGGTAATTTCATTACATGGCAACAAGAAGAGAAGAAATCCGATCACAACTGGAGACATCCTCCAGGTTTGCTCTGCTGCAGGAGAAACACAGCTTCCACCAGTGAGAGTCAGTGTAAATAGAGACACTGCCTCATCTGCAAATGTCTCATTCACAGGAAGGTGAGGGTTTTTAGTGAGGAGTGGCATTAAACCGCATCACTGTGTACTGCCAGCGCAGTAATACACAGCCGTGTCTGATAGATTCACACTCTGAATAATCAGAGCTCCTATGTTGACTTCTGTTCTTGTAATCTCAAACCGATCGTTAAACTGTTTCTCATAGTTAGGCTCACTGCCAGAACTGCTGAATCCAATCAAGCTCATCAAACCTCTCTCTTTTTGCTGGTACCAGAGCATTACATAGAGGGTGTTATCATCATGAATGCATGTAATTTCTACTCTGGCCTTGTCCTCGACTATTCTAGGAAGAGACAGCTGAAATGTCACACTCTTGGCTCGATCTGTGGGAAAAACACAGATTTTAAAAGTAAATGATACAGAAGCCCCAGTGAAAAAAGGTAAAATGTCTTTGTAAATTAACAACACAGTTAAATTGCAGTTTTTGCAGCTAATTTCATTACATGGAAGCAAGATGAACAGAAATGCTATCATAGCTGGAGA